AGGGCAGGACCAGCTAAACCTTCCCAAAACTGATTTACCCATGGCCAGGGCAGGACCAGCTAAACCTTCCCAAAACTGATTTAGCCATGGCCAGGGCAGGACCAGCCTGTCTAACACAGGCTCTCCCTGCTGCCGGAGCTGCTGGAGGGGGTGTGAGGGCTATAAACCCTGCTGCCTTGGAGCAGTGAGATCCAGGCCGTTATTGCCTGACATTCCTTCTGTCCTGGGGTTTTTTTAAGCCACCATTTTGTCTCTGGGTTTTCTTGCTCCCTCCCTCTGTGCCGAGCCCAGGGCAGCAGCCGTGTGGCAGGAGCAGGACCCGGTGCGTGTCTGGCTGAGGCGCCGTGGCTGAGCTAAGGAGGGTCGTAAAGAATTGTTCTCTGGGCTGGTTACAGCTGGCAGCAGGAGAGTCATTTATATGGGAACTTGTGGGGTGAGACAGGAGCTGCTGCAATTCCTGAGGTACGGATTGGGGAAGGGCAGGACCAGAGAGGTTCCACGGCTTTGTTTGTACTCTGTAGAAACTGCTGGAGATCTGTGCCCTGAGCTGGCGTGTGCAGCTCAGGAGGACATTGCTAAACAGGGAATGGTCTGAAAAGAGCCCTGGGAGCTGATAAATCCCTGCAAAAACAACCTCCTGCCGAGAGCTTTAGTTGACAAAGTTCCTGGGTTTATGAATTGGGACCTGGGGGGAAGAGAAAGGTGCCCAAAGGGGGCCTTTGCTTTAGTGACAAACCCAGCAGGGAGGGTTTGGAGTCAGGCTGGAAATGAAGTGTGGTTCTGCAGCAGCAAGGCGAGGAATTGCTGGAGTCCCTTCCCAAAGGATACAGGAGGCTCTACCCTGCCTGGTGTGGAATCATGGGGCACGTCTTCCCCAGACACTTCAGGTGCTGTGCTGGAACCGGGAGCACCAGGCAGCTGGTGTTTAATGCAGGTCAGGCCAGACTATCCCAGGGATCCCCTTTGTGCATGAGAATCCTGGTGTTTTTCTGCCAGATGGATCCTTTGGGTGTGACGTGCGAGGCTCCAGGACTCCTGACCTGCCGGCGCTCGCTCGGGAATGGGAGGCTGGCTGAAAACAGAGAGTTTTCCTCCTGCTTTTATGGCCTGGGTGATGGCCAGAGAGATCATGACTCAACGTGTTAATGTGGTGGAGAACAGCCCCGGAGGGATGGCTGTGGACAGTGGTGGTTGTGAGGACTCTGCCCGGCTGTGGAGCTGCTCCCATCAGCTGCTTTACCCTCTCACCACTCCATGTTTTTAAGATCTGCTGTTTCAGGGAGATCAAACCCCCCTGACTTTTCCCTCCTTGTCCAGCTGAGGACGAGCAAAACCTCGGCGTGGGAGGGGCAGGACACAACCCACAGCCCAGAATTCACAGAAATCCCTGCAGTCCCCCTTGCTCCAAGGATTATTTCTTTAAACACCAGAGAAACAAAACCAATGAGAAATGATTGTCCCGTTCCGAATTGTCACTTGCTTTCAGAAGGTGACACACACCTCAGTGGCAGAGCACCCAGACTTCCACAAAACAGAGGCCACATTCCCCAGGGCTCCCCAGGGAAGGACCCAGGTGGGTGAAATGCATTTTCTGGTCTCTCTTTGACCCAGTTCTTGGTGTTCTAACCCAAACCAGATCAGACTCCGACCCCGACTCGGTTCCTGAAGAACTGTGAGGAGGTGGGACTCTTCAATGAGCTGGCGAGTTCCTT